TGTGTGTTTGCATGCAATGTGTGTGTGTGTGTGTGTGTGTGTGTGTGTGTGTGTGTGTATATGTGTATGTGTTTGTGTTTGTGTGTGTGTGTGTGTATGCGTGTGTGTGGTGTGTGTGTGTGTGTGTGTGTGTGTGTGTGTGTGTGTGTGTGGTGTGTGGTGTGTGTGGTGTGTGTGTGTGTGTGTGTGTGTTGTGTGTGTGTGTGTGTGTGTGTGTGTGTGTGTGTGGTGATCAGGTGTGAAGTGGACCTGACCCGGGTCCCTCTAAACCAGAGACAGTTGTTCACTCTGGATCTGGGGAGAGGATGTCTGGTCTTCCTGCTCACTCTGAACACGTGCAGCGGCGTCTCCATCAGTGACCTCGGTGCCGCTCTGCTCGATGATCCGCACGAGCAACAGAACCAGCTCGACCACTACGTCAGTACCTGCACCTCCTACTACCTGTACTCACCTGCACCTCCTTCTACCTGTACTCACCTCCTTCTACCTGTACTCACCTGCACCTCCTACTACCTGTACTCACCTGCACCTCCTTCTACCTGTACTCACCTCCTTCTACCTGTACTCACCTGCACCTCCTACTACCTGTACTCACCTGCACCGCCTTCTACCTGTACTCACCTCCTTCTACCTGTACTCACCTGCACCTCTTTCTACCTGTACTCACCTCCTTCTACCTGTACTCACCTGCACCTCCTTCTACCTGTACTCACCTCCTTCTACCTGTACTCACCTGCACCTCTTTCTACCTGTACTCACCTGCACCTCCTTCTACCTGTACTCACCTCCTTCTACCTGTACTTCACCTGCACCTCTTTCTACTGTACTCCTCCTTCTACCTGTACTCACCTGCACCTCCTTCTACCTGTACTCACCTCCTTCTACCTGTACTCACCTGCACCTCTTTCTACCTGTACTCACCTGCACCTCCTTCTACCTGTACTCACCTCCTTCTACCTGTACTCACCTGCACCTCTTTCTACCTGTACTCACCTCCTTCTACCTGTACTCCCCTGCACCTCCTTCTACCTGTACTCACCTCCTTCTACCTGTACTCACCTCCTTCTATCTGTACTCACCTCCTTCTACCTGTACTCACCTCCTCTCTCTTCTACCTGTACTCACCTCCTTCTACCTGTACTCACCACCTGTACTCACCTCCTTCTACCTGTACTCATCTCCTCTCTCTTCTACCTGTACTCACCACCTGTACTCACCTCCTTCTACCTGTACTCACCTGCGTCTCTCTTCTGTCTGTACTCACCTCCTTCTATCTGTACTCACCTCCTTCTACCTGCACTCACCTCCTTCTACCTGCACTCACCTCCTTCTACCTGCACTCACCTCCTTCTACCTGCACTCACCTCCTTCTACCTGTACTCACCTCCTTCTACCTGTACTCACCTCCTCTCTCTTCTACCTGTACTCACCACCTGTACTCACCTCCTTCTACCTGTACTCACCTCCTTCTACCTGTACTCACCTCCTTCTACCTGTACTCACCACCTGTATTCACCTCCTTCTATCTGTACTCACCTCCTTCTACTTGTACTCACCACCTGTACTCACCTCCTTCTACCTGTACTCACCTGTCTCTCTCTTCTACCTGTACTCACCTGCGTCTCTCTTCTACCTGTACTCACCTGCGTCTCTCTTCTACCTGTACTCACCTGTCTCTCTCTTCTACCTGTACTCACCTGTGTCTCTCTTCTACCTGTACTCACCTCCGTCTCTCTTCTACCTGTACTCACCTGCGTCTCTCTTCTACCTGTACTCACCTGTCTCTCTCTTCTACCTGTACTCACCTGTGTCTCTCTTCTACCTGTACTCACCTCCGTCTCTCTTCTACCTGTACTCACCTGCGTCTCTCTTCTACCTGTACTCACCTGCGTCTCTCTTCTACCTGTACTCCAACCTGTCATCACTTGGATGACACACAGATCTATATCGATGTATTTATATAGATCTGACTATATGAGTCATGGATTCCAGGGGGTCATGTAGTGAGATGTCAGCTGATCAGATGTGACAGTAAAGAGAGAGAGACCCCCCCCCTCTGAAAACCAAATGAACATGTCTCATAATAATGGAAGTAGAAAGTTGTGTGTTCTTAAAGAACGTCTTCCTCTCTGTTCTCCGTCCTCAGAGTTTGAAGAGGTCTCTGAAGAACCTGCACGATGTGGGTTTCCTTCAAATCAAAGTGCTGAAGGCTGCAGATCTGCTGTCTGCTGATTTAAACGGTATGTCTGAACACATTTCTGTTGGTTCTCAGTGGAGAGACGGAGGTGACCGTGTTTCTGTCCTGCAGGGAAAAGCGATCCCTTCTGTGTGCTGGAGTTAGGAAACGACAGGCTGCAGACCCACACGGTTTACAAGAGCCTGAACCCGGACTGGAACCAAGTCTTCACATTGTGAGTTGTTCTCTTTAAAGGAGCAATATGTAACTGAGCCCTAGTGTTTGAAAAGGGTACTGCAGTCTAACCTCTAAAGATTGTTTGTCTCTGCAGCCCTGTTAAAGACATTCATGATGTTCTGATGGTGACCATCTTTGATGAGGACGGAGACAAGGCGCCAGACTTCCTGGGGAAAGTCGCCATTCCTCTGCTCTCGGTACACACACCTCTCCACAAGGCCGTCATGCAGACATTAATCTATTAGAACTTATGAGTGTGTGTGTGTGTGTGTCTGTGTGTGTGTGTGTGTGTGTGTGTGTGTGTGTGTGTGTGTGTGTGTGTGTGTGTGTGTGTGTGTGTGTGTGTGTGTTGTGTGTTGTGTGTGTGTGTGTGTCTGTCTGTGTGTGTGTGTGTGTGTGTGTCTGTGTCTGTGTGTGTCTGTGTCTGTGTGAGAACTCCTAGTGTTTATGAGTGTCTGTGTGTATGTGTGTGTGTGTGTGTGTCTGTGTGTGTGTGTGTGTCTGTGTGTGTGTGTGTGTGTGTGTGTGTGTCCTGGTGTAAATGAAAGTGAAGCGGGCGCTCACACTCTAGACTGAGGACTTGATAAGATGTAATCCAGTTTGACTGAGGTCAGCACCTGATGCCCTTTCTATCCTGCAGATCCGCAGCGGACAGCAGACGGTCTACCCTTTGAAGAAAGAGGACCTGAGCGGACTGTCGAAGGGGACCATCACTCTGGAGCTGGAGGTTATTTTTAACCCTGTGAGTAAAAGTTCAGTGTGTAAAGAGGACTGCAGGGCGGTGCTTGCATGATGCTTCCTCTTCAGGTCAGGGCGGCTCTATGGGCTCTGATTCTATGTTTCATGATGCTTCCTCTTCAGGTCAGGGCGGCTCTATGGGCTCTGATTCTATGTTTCATGATGCTTTCTCTTCAGGTCAGGGCGGCTCTATGGGGTCTGATTCTATGTTTCATGATGCTTCCTCTTCAGGTCAGGGCGGCTCTATGGGCTCTGATTCTATGTTTCATGATGCTTTCTCTTCAGGTCAGGGCGGCTCTATGGGCTCTGATTCTATGTTTCATGATGCTTCCTCTTCAGGTCAGGGCGGCTCTATGGGGTCTGATTCTATGTTTCATGATGCTTTCTCTTCAGGTCAGGGCGGCTCTATGGGCTCTGATTCTATGTCTCATGATGCTTTCTCTTCAGGTCAGGGCGGCTCTATGGGCTCTGATTCTATGTCTCATGATGCTTTCTCTTCAGGTCAGGGCGGCTCTATGGGGTCTGATTCTATGTCTCATGATGCTTTCTCTTCAGGTCAGGGCGGCTCTATGGGGTCTGATTCTATGTCTCATGATGCTTTCTCTTCAGGTCAGGGCGAGTGTGCGGACGTTCCAGCCAAGAGAGAGGACCTTCATGGAAGACAATGCCAAGTTCTCCAAAAAGGTTTGAATCTGTTCTGAAGACCAGGGTCCTAAAGACCGGCATCCTAAAGACCGGGATCCTAAAGACCAGGGTCCTAAATACCGGGGTCCTAAAGACCAGGGTCCTAAATTCCGGTGTCCTTAAGACTGGGGTCCTAAATACCGGGGTCCTGAAGACCAGGGTCCTGAAGACCAGGGTCCTAAATACCGGGATCCTAAATATCAGTTTCCTAAAGACCAGGGTCCTAAAAACCAGTGTCCTAAAGACCGGGGTTCTAAAGACCGGGGTCCTAGAGACCGGGGTCCTGAAGACCGGGGTCCTAAAGACCGGGGTCCTTAAGACCGGGGTCCTAAAGACCAGGGTCCTAAATACCGGGGTCCTAAATACCGGGGTCCTAAAGACTGGGGTCCTGAAGACCAGGGTCCTAAAGACCAGTTTCCTAAAGACCAGGGTCCTAAAGACCAGGTTCCTAAAGACCGGGGTCCTAAAGACCAATTTCCTAAAGACCATGGTCCTAAAGACCATTTTCTTAAAGACCGGGGTCCTAAAGACCGGGGTCCTGAAGACCGGGGTCCTAAAGACCAGGGTCCTAAAGACCAGTTTCCTGAAGACCGGGGTCCTGAAGACCGGGGGATCCCAAAGACCGGGGTCCTGAAGACTGGGGTCCTGAAGACTGAGGGATCCTAAAGACTGGGGTCCTAAAGACCAGGGTCCTAAAGACCAGTTTCCTGAAGACCAGGGTCCTGAAGACCGGGGTCCTAAAGACCCGGGTCCTGAAGACCGGGGGATCCTAAAGATCGGGGTCCTAAAGACCAGGTTCCTGATCAACACCTGAAGAGTCTTTGTTATCTGTCAGGCTGCAGCAGGTCTTAATGAAAGGAACGCTTCAATGAGCGTCCATGTTTACGATATAGAGAGTTCTCTTTAGAGTTCAGAATCAGAATCAGGATCAGAATCAGGATCAGGATCAGAATCAGAATCAGGAGCAGAATCAGAATCAGGATCAGGATCAGGATCAGGATCAGAATCAGAATCAGAATCAGAATCAGAATCAGGTTTATTGATCAGGTGTGCTCACACACACAATGAATGTAACTTTAGTGAACTGTGCTCTCTTATGTTCAGGTACAGCATTAAATATCAACAATAAACACAATAAGAAAAAACTAATATTTCACATGAACATGAAACTGAGTCCATTAACATGTCGATTACAGTGTTTACATAAAAAACATGACATGACGTCTTCACTGTCACTCAACAAACGCCATGACTCATCTTCTAAAACAACGCCATGACTCATCAATTAAAACAACGCCATGACTCACCAATAAAAACAACGCCATGACTCACCAATAAAAACAACGCCATGACTCATCAATTAAAACAACGCCATGACTCATCAATAAAAACAACGCCATGACTCATCAATAAAAACAACGCCATGACTCACCAATAAAAACAACGCCATGACTCACCAATAAAAACAACGCCATGACTCATCAATAAAAACAACGCCATGACTCACCAATAAAAACAACGCCATGACTCATCAATAAAAACAACGCCATGACTCATCAATGAAAACAACGCCATGACTCATCTTCTAAAAGAACGCCGTGACTCATCAATAAAAACAACGCCATGACTCATCTTCTAAAAGAACGCCATGACTCATCAATAAAAACAACGCCATGACTCATCAATAAAAACAACGCAACGCAGCCCTAAAATCCATCAGAGTCTCAGCGAGTCCTTCAGACTAATGGGACCTGGATCATCATCACGGTCCTGAGGGGACCCGGGTCATCATCACGGTCCTGAGGGGACCTGGATCATCATCCCGGTCTTGAGGGGACCCGGGTCATCATCACGGTCTTGAGGGGACCCGGGTCTTCATCACGGTCCTGAGGGGACCCGGGTCTTCATCCCGGTCCTGAGGGGACCCGGGTCATCATCACGGTCTTGAGGGGACCCGGTTCTTCATCACGGTCCTGAGGGGACCCGGGTCATCATCACGGTCTTGAGGGGACCCGGGTCTTCATCATGGTCCTGAGGGGTACCACAACGCCCTCTTCACGTGCACCAGCAGAGCGTTCATGCTGCTCCCAGCTGACGTAAAGTCCAGCTCGGGGGGGGGGGGGGGTCTTTAGCTTCTTTAAAGATGAAAGAAACCGGGTCAGAAGAGGTCAAAGGTCGCTGGTCACTTAGTCCCCGTGGCGTCTGGATAATTAGAGTTAAGGAAGTAAAAACATTTAGCTGTTAGCTCAGACGCTAGGAGCACAGAGGGTCTTTCCTGGTCATGTTGAACGGGTCTTAATTGACCCCGACGGCGCCCTGTTCTGTTGCATTAGTTTGATTTACAGTGTGTAGGACAGAGTGTGAGACGGGGAGCCTGACTGTCTGTACTCCCCACAAAGACTCTTTGTTGGCAGACAATGCATCGCTTGCTAACGCTGAAATTGGTTTACACACGGCGCCCTGGGACGGTAAGGGGCGGGGTCTGTTGGACGTGTCAGTTGATAAAATCAGGTCAGATTACTGACAGAAAGTCCAAAACACATTCTCATTATTCCCCTCCCTGACTCCACATTTCAAACATCTGAAATATAATTTCGTGTTTGTGTCTTTCAGGCTCTGGCGAGGAACGTGCTGCGTGTTCAGACGCTGTACAGGGCGATCGTCTCCACGCTGCGCTACATCAAAAGCTGCTTCCAGTGGGAGAGCGTTCAGAGGAGCCTGCTCGCCTTCCTGGTGATTTAACTCTTTATCTGCATGTCTCTGTGTTTCTCTCTCACACACAATCTCAATCACTGCGCTGTCGGCGCCCGCTTGGCCCCGCCTCTGTGGCTTGCTTTTTAGGGTTGCGTGTCTCGAGGAGTTAAGCCTCAGCTGGAGCGGGGACGTCCCAGCGGACAACTCATTAACCCTCCGTCCAATCTGTGCTGGGTTTGATTTAGACCCCATCATGTAGACGTCCAATCAAAAGGCTCATTGTGTCCATCCAGCTGTTTGATACAGATGTTAGGACGGGAACACAGGACGAGCCCCTCTGAATCTTCAGTGTTAGGACGGGAACACGGGACGAGCCCCTCTGAATCTTCAGTGTTAGGACGGGAACACAGGACGGGACACGGGACGAGCCCCTCTGAATCTTCAGTGTTAGGACGGGGACACGGACGATCCTCTCTGAATCTTCAGTGTTAGGACGGGGACACGGGACGGGACACGGGACGAGCCCCTCTGAATCTTCAGTGTTAGGACGGGAACACAGGACGAGCCCCTCTGAATCTTCAGTGTTAGGACGGGGACACGGGACGATCCTCTCTGAATCTTCAGTGTTAGGACGGGGACACGGGACGGGACACGGGACGAGCCCCTCTGAATCTTCAGTGTTAGGACGGGGACACGGGACGATCCTCTCTGAATCTTCAGTGTTAGGACGGGGACACGGGACGGGACACGGGACGAGCCCCTCTGAATCTTCAGTGTTAGGACGGGAACACAGGACGGGACACGGGACGAGCCCCTCTGAATCTTCAGTGTTAGGACGGGAACACGGGACGATCCTCTCTGAATCTTCAGTGTTAGGACGGGAACACGGGACGAGCCCCTCTGAATCTTCAGTGTTAGGACGGGAACACAGGACGGGAACACGGGACGAGCCCCTCTGAATCTTCAGTGTTAGGACGGGAACACAGGACGGGAACACGGGACGAGCCCCTCTGAATCTTCAGTGTTAGGACGGGAACACGGGACGATCCCCTCTGAATCTTCAGTGTTAGGACGGGGACACGGGACGAGCCCCTCTGAATCTTCAATGTTAGGACGGGGGCGCGGGACGATCCCCTCTGAATCTTCAGTGTTAGGACGGGGACACGGGACGAGCCCCTCTGAATCTTCAGTGTTAGGACGGGGACGCGGGACGAGCCCCTCTGAATCTTCAGTTTTAGGACGGGGACACGGGACGAGCCCCTCTGAATCTTCAGTGTTAGGACGGGGACACGGGACGAGCCCCTCTGAATCTTCAGTGTTAGGACGGGAACACGGGACGAGCCCCTCTGAATCTTCAGTGTTAGGACGGGGACACGGGACGAGCCCCTCTGAATCTTCAGTGTTAGGACGGGGACACGGGACGAGCCCCTCTGAATCTTCAGTGTTAGGACGGGGACGCGGGACGAGCCCCTCTGAATCTTCAGTGTTAGGACGGGGACACGGGACGAGCCCCTCTGAATCTTCAGTGTTAGGACGGGGACACGGGACGAGCCCCTCTGAATCTTCAGTGTTAGGACGGGAACACGGGACGAGCCCCTCTGAATCTTCAGTGTTAGGACGGGGACACGGGACGAGCCCCTCTGAATCTTCAGTGTTAGGACGGGGACACGGGGAGTGGCTGCTGATCTTTTTTTTTATCCTTCTCCATTCAAAGCAAACAGCCTTTTGTGTTTTAACTCTGCAGGAAACTGAGGTCATGGAGAGTTCCTCTTGTTGTTACAGTATGCGTCCTGTAGATGGCACTAAAGATTTGCTGAATGCCTTCACATGAGGCGGCTGCTGAACAGATACTGTACCCCCGCCAACAGCACACTCTGTTCAATTTGCTGTGAAAATGGGAGTTTCTGCACAGAGTTGTTATCTGATCAGAAGCTGCTGTTGGCGCTCTGAGCTGTGCGTTTAGAAATTGTGGCGTCCGGGGTCAGAGCGCTTTGAGCACAAACAGCTTTCAATGAACATGTTCAACACACACTGAGGGAGAAATAATATATACAAAAATACACAACTCCCCCTGAGAAATATTGTTGTTTAGCCTGACAGCTTCGACACACACACGCAGACACACACACACACACACACGCAGACACACACACACGCACACACACGCACACACGCACACACACACAGACACAGACACACACACACGCAGACACACGCACACACACACACACAGACACGCACACACACACACACGCAGACACACACACACACACACACGCACACACACGCACGCACGCGCACACACACACACACACACACACACACACACACACACACCCTCCCACTGCTGCAGAGTGTTTGAGAGACAGTACCATCTGTACTCATGTTTTCACACTTGCTGCCTTTTCAAGCCTCAGTGAGAAGAAATCAATGTCTGCTTAATATCTCTGCATGAGAGTGACGGAGCGACGCTTCGCTCTGCATGGACAGACGAAGACGATCTACCTGCAACACCTGCCAAGTGTCACACACACCTTCATGCACAACTCTTCAGTCACAGTGTTTCCTTCTCTATCTTCACTTTATTTCATGTTTCATCTTCTTTCTCCTGCTGCATCGTCTGCAAACTCTCTCCTCCTGACAATCCCTCTTTTATAATCCTGATTGTATTCAATGTTGACGTCCTGAAATATGAAGCTTTTGTATAATCATATTGTATTTAAAGTGATGCTGGAAACCAGACATCCAGGTCTCAGAAGCTTTGGGCAGAAAATACACAAATGTAATACAAAGGAAGTGTGAATCACAGATTCCCCCTGATCACCTCTCCAACTCTACACAATGTCTTCATCTGTTAAAAGAGTAAAATTATTTAGTAAAAAAGAAATGCCACACATTTCATTGAATGTCTGATGTGTGACGTTTGATAAAGGGCTTATTATTCGCACATCATGGAGGTGCAGAGACATTCAAAAACAGCAGCGAAAAACAGCAGAAACCAGAGAAGTTCTTAAGGTGCTGATTAAAAACAATCTTCTTCCTTTTCTTGCGGCTGTTCAGTTTTCAGAGTCAGAAAAAAGTTGCTTTCAGTTTGAGGCTCCTCAGAATCAGGAGGTGTTTCTTCTGAACTTACCTTTAACTGTTTGTCTGCATTGAGACTGAAACACACATAAAATGTGTTGTTGTTGTTGTTGTTGAGTCGATATGACACAGGTCATAACTCTTTACATATACAGTGTGTGTGTCTTTAAAACCACCAGTTAGGGATTTATTTTCTTTATGGTCTCTGAACCAGTCAGGACTTCATGTTAATGTCATTTTAAGAACCTTCCCGAATACAAATTGTGAATTTTTAACTTCAACATTTAAAGGACAGAAATGCTCATTCTAGTGTTGTCAGGTGTTATTTAGTGCTAAAATCACCGTTAGCTTGTTTGACTTTAGTGCTAAAATCACCGTTAGCTTGTTTGACTTTAGTGATAAAATCACCGTTAGCTTGTTTGACTTTAGTGCTAAAATCACAGTTAGCTTGTTTGACTTTAGTGCTAAAATCACCGTTAGCTTGTTTGACTTTAGTGCTAAAATCACCGTTAGCTTGTTTGACTTTAGTGCTAAAATCACCGTTAGCTTGTTTGACTTTAGTGATAAAATCACCGTTAGCTTGTTTGACTTTAGTGATAAAATCACCGTTAGCTTGTTTGACTTTAGTGCTCAAATCATTGTTAGCTGATTTAGTGAGAAATGTCTCTGGACTTCTTATTAGTTTTCCACATTGTTTAGTTTAGCGCCTGTCACTGTTCCGCGAAAGTAACTCCGCCTCTAACCCATGACTGGAGCGATGATGTCATCTGAGCATTACCGTGAACATGTTCAGTAGCTGTGCTAACGTTAGGTAGCCTCTCTCTGTGATCTGGATCGTATTTCCAGAGACCGTGTAATGCCTCTCAAGCTGAAACAAGTTTATCACCATCTTTACGGCGTGTGTATTTGTTTCCACCAGAGCGTGGGGGGACCCCTGGGACCCCTTGTGGTCATTACAAAGTCCTCACTAATAAAACAGAACCCTCTCAGAGAGGACTTGGTTTCATCTCCTCTCCCAGGATCTGCTTTGGCTCGTGATGACACAGACCGCAGCACATTAAAGCTGGGGCTGGTCGTGGCGGCGGCGGAGGATGGAGGGGGCGTGATGTCTTTACCAGATGTTCACTTCTATTAGTGCACCCCTTCCCCACGCTGTTTGGCTCGCTGCCATGTTGGCTGGCACTGCCTCTCTGACACCTTCATCCTCTTCTCGTTACCTGAGCCATGACATATGCACACGCGGCTCCCTGTGGCTGCGTGCTCGTCTTTAATGTACACCAGATGAGAGAGACGGAGCAATTAGACTAAAGTGCTTAATGTCAGTGGATATGCAGGGGGCGAGGGTGAGCTCGCCCTGCACAGCATATGCAGAATAAGCGTAGACGGGGAGCACGCCTTTGATAGTGGCGGGGTGGCCTTCATCAGCTTGACCAGTGGCGGTGTGATCAATAGCAGACGGGATCGACCTTTAGCTTGCAGGGATTCAGGATCTATTGGAAGCGTCTAAATGAAGAGGGTTTCCTTTAATCCGCCCTCACTGATGTTTGACCTCTGACCTCCTCTGCCTGCAGGTCTTTGTGGTGACCGTGTGGTACTGGGAGTTCTACATGCTGCCCTTCTTCCTGGTCCTGCTCATCTCCTGGAACTACATGCAGATCCGGTCCGGCCGCGTCCCTCAGGACCTGGTGGGTCTCCACAGAGATCCTGTGTTCATGCTCATCTCTTTATTTTGTTTCTGTTTAAAAGCTGCTTTGTTTCCATAGCAACCAGCTGCGACCATCCAGCTACATGATGATAAAATAAGAAATAATACAGGAGCAAAGAAGCGACATGTGATTCTGTGTTACCACCCCCCCCCCCCGTGATATTTGTGGTCTGACAGGATGGGGCTGTATCTCTGTTTCTTGTGTGTGCAGCAGCAGCGTCATCCTCTCAGGCTGAAGGTTAGAAATGATGAACCAAAGGTCTTTGTTAAAAAGTTGTGACAGGAGGTAGATGAAATGTTCAAATGCTGATTTTATTTTGAAGTCTGTCGATGTCACAAATGAATGTGATGAGTTTCAGGAGCTTCTATTATTTCATTATTAATCTGCCAGTCATTCATCATTATTATTCACATTATTATTCTGATTCTATAAAAAGGTTCAGCACAGTTTCTAATGTGTTCTGATTGGTTCTTTTGATAGACTTCCTGTCAGCAGGAACAGCTGGAAGCTGCAGGAATATCTCAACCTATTCATCAAATTCTAAACTTTATTTTCCCTTCAACCGATCCATCAATCAATCAATCAATCAATCAATCAATCAATCAATCAATCAATCAGTCAATCCATCAACATCCTCAATCAACCAATCAACCAACCACTCAATCAATCAATCAGTCAATCCATCAATCAACCGATCCATCAATCAATCATCAATCAATCAATCAATCAATCAATCAATCAATCAATCAATCAGTCAATCCATCAATCAATCAACCAACCAACCAACAATCAAGCCAATCAACCAATCAATAAATCATCAACCAATAGCTGCTTTGTTTCCATAGCAACCAGCTGCGACCATCCAGCTACATGATGATAAAAAGAATAATACAGGAGCAAAGAAGCGACATGTGATTCTGTGTTACCCCCCCCCCCCCGTGATATTTGTGGTCTGACAGATGGGGCTGTATCTCTGTTTCTTGTGTGTGCAGCAGCAGCGTCATCCTCAGGCTGAAGGTTAGAAATGATGAACCAAGGTCTTTGTTAAAAAGTTGTGACAGGAGGTAGATGAAATGTTCAAATGCTGATTTTATTTTGAAGTCTGTCGATGTCAAAATGAATGTGATGAGTTTCAGGAGTTCTATTATTTCATTATTAATCTGCCAGTCATTCATCATTATTATTCACATTATTATTCTGATTCTATAAAAAGTTCAGCACAGTTTCTAATGTGTTCTGATTGGTTCTTTTGTAGACTTCCTGTCAGCAGGAACAGCTGGAAGCTGCAGGAATATCTCAACCTATTCATCAAATTCTAAACTTTATTTTCCCTTCAACCGATCCATCAATCAATCAATCAATCAATCAATCAATCAATCAATCATCAAATCAATCAATCAATCAATCAATCAATCAATCAATCAGTCAATCCATCAATCAATCAACCAATCAACCAACCACTCAATCAATCAATCAGTCAATCCATCAATCAACCGATCCATCAATCAATCAATCAATCAATCAATCAATCAATCAATAATCAATCAATCAATCAATCAATCAGTCAATCCATCAATCAATCAACCAACCAACCAACCAATCAACCAATCAACCAATCAATAAATCAATCAGTCAATCAGTCAATCAATCAGTCAACCAATCAACCAATCAATAAATCAATCAGTCAATCAGTCAATCAACCAACCAATCAACCAATCAACCAATCAATAAATCAATAAATCAATCAGTCAATCAACCAATCAATCAACCCTCGAGGTCCCTGCTGGTCCTGCTGACCCTCGAGTTCACTTCTCGCCCTGACCCTGTCTGCTGCTGAACTTCACTCAGAGCCCCAGAATGAGAAAATGTGCAATAATCCATCATCATTAAGGCCCCTGGTTGTGATGTGTAATGGAGTTCTGTGTTTTCTTCCAGGAGAGTATGGATGTGGGAGAGGAAGAGGAGGATGATGAGAAGGTACGTACCTGGTCTGTGACTTCCTGTTCACTCAGCGTCTCCTCTCATTCAAAGTCTGCTTTTTATCTGCGGCTACATTTTGATTCCTGACACCAGATCTAGCATGTCTTTGTAAACACTGAGCTAATGCAGACCACAGCAAGGGGCGGGGCGGGGGGGGCGGGGCGGGGCGGGCAGGGCAGGGTGGGAAGGGGGTCCTGAGCTTAACAAGCTGCTATGCATCAATATGGAACTAATGGCCCACGGCGGTTAGCAGAACTAATCCTAAACCCACACCTAAATCCTCCACCCTTCTTATGAACATATAAGAAAACGGTTAACCTTTATGTTTGTGACGTTAACGTCGTGGGCGGGGCCAATGATCTGAAAGGTTAGGCCAGTAATGTCGGCTCGATGTTAGCCAAGAAGCTAACGCTAATGCTACTGATCAACTAGCATTCGCTAATAACATGCTGTCTTCAGAGAGCCCGTCGACCTCTCATGAGTCCAAATCTCTGGTTGGATCTGGACCCTCTCAGAGTGTCATCAGTTTCTTCCTGTGTTTGTTTGTTTGTTTGTTTATTTGTTTGTTTGTTTGTTTGTTTCCGAGGAGTCGGAAAGACGCGGGCTGATGGAGAAGATCCACATGGTCCAGGAAACCAGGACTGGACTCTGGACCTGACTCTGGACCGGACTCTGTACTCTGGACTGGACTCTGGACCTGATTCTGTACTCTGGACTGGACTCTGGACCTGACTCTGGACCTGACTCTGGACCGAACTCTGGACTCTGGACCTGACTCTGCGACCGACTCTGTACTCTGGACTGGACTCTGGACTGGACTCTTGACTGGACTCTGGACTGGACTCTGGACCGGACTCTGTACTCTGGACTGGACTCTGGACCGGAATCTGGACTGGACTCTGGACCTGACTCTGGACTGGACTCTGGACCGGTCTCTGGACCGGATTCAGGACCGGACTCTGGACTGGACTCTGGACCTGACTCTGGACCGGACTCTGTACTCTGGACTGGACTCTGGACCTGATTCTGTACTCTGGACTGGACTCTAGACTGGACTCTGGACTGGACTCTGGACCTGACTCTGGACCGGATTCTGTACTCTGGACTGGACTCTGGACCTGATTCTGTACTCTGGACCTGATTCTGTACTCTGGACTGGACTCTGGACTGGACTCTGGACTGGATTCTGGACCTGACTCTGGACTGGACTCTGGACCTGACTCTGGACCGGACTCTGTACTCTGGACCTGACTCTGGACCTGACTCTGGACCTGACTCTGGACCGGACTCTGTACTCTGGACTGGACTCTGGACCTGACTCTGGACTGGACTCTGGACCTGACTCTGGACCGGACTCTGTACTCTGGACTGGACTCTGGACCTGATTCTGTACTCTGGACTGGACTCTGGACCTGACTCTGGACCTGACTCTGGACCGAACTCTGGACTCTGGACCTGACTCTGGACCGGACTCTGTACTCTGGACTGGACTCTGGACTGGACTCTTGACTGGACTCTGGACTGGACTCTGGACCGGACTCTGTACTCTGGACTGGACTCTGGACCTGACTCTGGACTGGACTCTGGACCTGACTCTGGACTGGACTCTGGACCTGACTCTGGACCTGACTCTGGACCGGACTCTGTACTCTGGACTGGACTCTGGACCTGACTCTGGACCGAACTCTGGACTCTGGACCCTGGACCTGACTCTGGACCGAACTCTGGACTCTGGACTGGACTCTGGACCTGACTCTGGACTGGACTCTAGACCTGACTCTGGACCTGACTCTGGACCGGACTCTGGACCGAACTCTGGACTGGACTCTGGACCTGACTCTGGACCTGACTCTGGACTGGACTCTGGACCTGACTCTGGACCTGACTCTGTACTCTGGACTGGACTCTGGACCTGACTCTGGACCGAACTCTGGACTCTGGACCCTGGACCTGACTCTGGACCGAACTCTGGACTCTGGACTGGACTTGAGACTTTGTCCCACCTCTGGTTCAAACTGATCAGTCTGACTTACTTCCTGTTCTTTCAGCACTTTTAATTGGTCGGTGCCCTTTCTGTCCATGCTGGCTTTCCTGATCTTCGTCATGGCAACGATCCTGACGTACTACATCCCCGTACGTTACATCGTGCTGATATGGGGTGAGTCAAGATCCTGGCGATTAGGATGTGTGTGTGTGTGTGTGTGTGTGTGTGTGTGTGTGTGTGTGTGTGTGTGTGTGTGTGTGTGTGTGTGTGTGTGTGTGTGTGTGTGTGTGTGTGTGTGTGTGTGTGTGTGTGTGTGTGTGTGTGTGTGTGTACAGACACAAAGAGAAACACGTCTCTGAGTCTTCATGAGGGAAACATGTGATAAAGAAAGCACCATGACTTATTATATATTGTATGAAATATTATATATTTTATGTTTTCACATCTTCAGGAAAACATTAGGGAACACTTTGTCCACAGGGGGCGCCAAAAACACTAAAATCTTTAAATCCTGTTTAAGAAGTAAAAACATATTATTTTCTACGGTGAGCCTAAAGGGACAAAAGAAGATGAGATGATGAAGATGAATTAAATCTCCTGTTGTTGTTAACAGTATCACAGGACTCGTCTCCATGACGACAGTCCAATGTTTACTCCGTGCTGTAAAGTGAAAGTAAAGAGGCCTCACAGGCGGCGTCCTGTTTGTGTGGAAACAAGGAGCAGCCACAGGAGACTAGAGCTAATCATATGTTGGTGTCCGCGTCTGTTTTAGGTATCAATAAATTCACCAAGAGACTACGGAACCCGTACAGCATCGACAACAATGAAGTGCTGGATTTCCTGTCCAGGGTGCCGTCAGACGTGCAGAAGGTAAGCCGGCCAGGAAGCCCCAAATCCCTGAGCCCTGCAGAGTCTCTGTAATTAGCTCATCCTCTATCATTATGGAGTCCTGTTTAATTCCTGCTGTGTTTTGGTCATGATGCCTCCCTGATGGAGGTCTGCTGTTCCCATGAACTCACAAACACCTCCATCTTTAATGTAGGAGCCATCCCACCATCCTCACGTCTTCTTGTTTCATTCAGGTTCAGTTCAGTGAGATCCGAGGCAGCAGGAAGAAGAAGATCTTATAGGAGGAGGAGGACCTGATGATGCTTCCACCTGAAAAAACAACGTCGTGCGGAACGCCATCTTGCAGAACGCCGTGCAGAGTGGCGTTGTGCAGAGTGGCGTTGTGCAGAGTGGCGTTCTTCACAGCGTTGGGGGGATGTGGAGCAGCTGGTAAAGACTTTCTGCACGCTGTCACAGACTCATCTGATTGTTTGAACAGTTTCTTCGATCAGCTGATCTTCTCTCCCTGAAGCGTTCATATATTCTATAAACTTTATTACACAGTTCAGATGTTTTGTTTTACAGATTGAATGATTTATAATGTTTTATGTCTGAGAGCTTTAAGTGCCTCCCTGAGCTCGTCTCGGGCTGCAGATGTTTTATTTTACAGATTTGAATTATGGTTTATAATGTTTTATACTCTCTGAGACCTTCCCTCCCTGAGCTCGTCTCAGGCTGCAGATGTTTGCACACATCACTTTATTTATTAACAGCCGTCATGATGATGTCTTTGTTTTCCTGCAGTAATAAAAGCTTTCGACCTCACACTGAGTCTGTTCCTTCTCTGCACACTCCCTCGTCTCTGTGCCGCAGGATAGTGGGCGTCTAACAGCATCCCCCCCCTCATTAGGCTTTCATGAAGCGAGGCTCCCTGCTGTGCTGATGGCCCCCGGGCGTCGCTGCGAGCACGAGGACCTGGATGACCTCCTCTCAGCTGCTGATGAGGAGCACGAGGTCTCCACAAGCAGACACAAGCAGCTCCAATTTAGGGATTGGAGAAGGCGAGTAGTTAAGATGTTGACGTTGTCAGTAAGCGAGGGATTTCTGCCTTTTAAGTCGGAACGCGTGGGCGCACATTGTGCAGCCTCCGACACGAGGAACGAGGAAGAACCAATCATATTCAAGCAGAAGTTAAAGAAGTGATGTGATTATAGAAATCATTGAATCACTCCTTAAAGACATTGTGTAGCTGTGTGTCTCTAATGGTGACTTAGGAGCTGCTGTGAAGGTCACTTGAAGGTCGTCTCGTGACACTTCTCGCTTCAGCATCAATATGTAGAGGCGGCATTACACGTCACATCAACGCTCATACGGGAGACAGAAATACAACATCTGGTTGGTGAAACTCACATTAATTGTCTGCTGCAGGTTTTCAATCAGAAATATCAAACATGTTTAATATTTATGTTTTATATATAATATATATATATTTTATAATTTAATATTTATGCTCCAACGCGATACAATAATCTACGACACAAACAGCCTCAAATTAGGCCACTCCCCCTGATCGTTGAAGCCTAAAGCGTGGAGTGTGCTATCAGAGTTTCAGCTGTTTCCACGGCAACAGGTGTGTTCACTTTCTGCAGCACTTCACCTTCGGACTGCTCTCTAAAAGTTGATATTGAATTATCATGACAGAGGCTTGAGTGTGGTTAACCTTCATGCAGAAAGCTGATTGGTTCCAATCCAAACACTTGTCAGATCATCCCAAGCAGTCGAGTCATATCTGATCATGAGAAGAGGAGCTGGATTCAAACAGAGTCTGTTGGATCTGGTTCTTTAACGTTTTTGCTCCGTCTTGACATAGTAACCCTTTAGATGCCTCTCGGTGATGTAGTGTAACATGAAACTGTGTTTGTGAGGGATACTTTCAGCTGCGGATGGATTTACAGCATCAGGCCCATCCAACCCAACGATGAACTCATCATGTTAGCGCTAATGCTAATGCTAAGTATATGACCTGATCAATCAAGTGTTATCTCAAGACACTTTACAAAAAGCAGGTAAAATACCTTACTCATTGTTATGTTACAAAAAGCAGGTAAAAGACCTTACTCATTGTTATGATACAAAAAGCAGGTAAAAGACCTTACTTATTGTTATGTTACAAAAAGCAGGTAAAAGACCTTACTCATTGTTATGTTACAAAAAGCAGGTAAAAGACCTTACTCATTGTTATGTTACAAAAAGCAGGTAAAAGACCTTACTCATTGTTATGTTACAAAAAGCAGGTAAAAGACCTTACTCATTGTTATGTTACAAAAAGCAGGTAAAAGACCTTACTCATTGTTATGATACAAAAAGCAGGTAAAAAGACCTTACTCATTGTTATGTTACAAAAAGCAGGTAAAACACCTTACTCATTGTTATGTTACAAAAAGCAGGTAAAACACCTTACTCATTGTTATGTTACAAAGATCCGGCCTATCCATCATGAGCACTTTAGCAAAGCAGCAAAAGTTACAGTGGTAAGAAGAAACTGCCTTATTAAAAGGCAGAAATCTTCGGCCGGATCCTCGGCTCATGACGAAACAGCCTTCACAGGTCTAGACTGCAACGGGGTTGGAAAGGGATAGGGGGAGAGATGGGATAAGATGCAGGAAGAAGGATAGGTCGAGGTGGTGTCCAGCACACGATGTGGGCTTCATAGATAACTGGCAGTCTTTTTGGGGAAAACCTGGTCTGCTAGCTAGAGACGGCATCCATCCCACTTTGGACGGTGCAGCTCTATTATCTAGAAACATAGCAGAGGTTATTAGTCCAAAACCTTGACAACAACACAGAGTTCAGACCAGGAGGCAGAGCTGCAGTCTTACACTTAGATCTGTCTCCCAGTCACTATAGCTGTAATTCTGAATCGAACTGTAGTTATACTATAGGTACTGTGTCTGTCCCCCGGCCCAGACCCGTTTTTATAAGTCATCCAAACGGCGTAAATCGTCAAAATCTCATTAGAATCAAAACTACGAATACGATTTTGCTAAAAAATCAGAAGATTCACTGCAGACTTTTGAACATTAGGTCCTTAGCATCCAAATCTCTTTTAGTAAATGATCTGATATCAGATCAGCATATTGATTTACTTTTTTTGACTGAAACCTGGCTGTGTCGAGATGAATATGTTCGTTTAAATGAAATAAATGAGTTTCTATCTGAATAATTGTTGTAGGTGACTTCAATATCCATGTGGATGTTGATAATGATATCCTTAGCACAGCTTTTATGTCATTATTAGACTCTATTGGTTTCACCCAGGGTGTAAACGAACCTACTCATCGTTTTAACCACACCCTGGATCTTGTTTTAGCTTATGGCAGGGGTGCCCAACCTTTTTTGAACCAAGATCTACTTTTAAAGTTACCAGTCTGCCGAGAGCTACCAGTCCACAGTGAGCCATAGCCTTTACCAACAGCCTACAAACGCATTTAATACTCAAACAACAAACAGAAAATAATAAATGAGAGTTCTGTAAAAAATAATGCAATATCGACATACTTTTTTTTAAACTCTTATTTTAGGGTAGGCTACAATTTAGTATTAAGTTTGTATTTATATCACATATGTTTTCCCTTAATTTAGTTTACAACAAACAACTTTAATCTGTGTGGAGATGTTCACAGACTACAGCAGGCTGCTGTGAGATGATTTCGCTTTTGTTAAATTAGCTGCAGACACGGTGAGAGTGAACGGAGTAAAGTCCAACCGACCGTTTGACTGGGTCACGTGTGTTCCCGCCTCGGTCCGTACGGATCACGGATCAACTGTGTGCTGTAGCACTAAAAGTAAAAAGTAAAAAGGTTTGCGTGGTGGCTGGCGCTCCAGTGCAAGTGTGTGCGTTTGCGCTGTTTGTTGGTGTGCCCCGCGATGCTCACAGTCATGACAGCAGAGAGGAGCAGAAAAAAGTAGCTGCAGCTTCATCAAATGCGCTTAATACTCGTAGCATAGTTTCTATATGTGACTTTTTGGTAAAACATTTACCCCCCGGTTTTACCTGCGCGTCATTGCGCATGCCTGCACTCTCTCTTGCGCGCTCTCTCTCTCTCTCTATCTCCGCCACTCACTCTCTCATGCACGCAACAATTTCATGAATAAATGAAAAATTAAATACAAACAAGTCGGAAGTATACTTGGCTCCCCACACAGGTATCGTGTGTGGGAAAAACTGCAATGAGATGAAATTGAAATCACTTTTCTATTTTACAATTGTATTTTATATTGACTAAACATCTCGCGATCGACTGAGAATCAGTCAGCGATCTACCTGTCGATCGCGATCGACTGTTTGGGCACCCCTGGCTTATGGCATTGAAATCCAAAACCTTACAGTTTTCCTAGAAAATCCTCTTCTATCAGACCATTTTCTTATTACATTCGACTTTGTCCTGCCAGAATTACCTCTGCTTGGAAGAGGTGTGCTCTCTAGAAGTTTATCTGATAGTGCTGTGGCTAGATTTAAGGAAGCTATTTTAGCTGCTTTTGATTCAGTACCGTGTTTCAACCCAGTTGGAAACTCTTATGATAGCTTTAGTCCCTCTCAGCTAGATCAGTTTGTTGATAGTGCAGTGGATTCACTGAGAGTTACTCTGGATTCGATTGCTCCCCTAAAACAGAAGGTTATCAAACAACAGAGACTAGCTCCATGGTTCAACTCAAACCCGTACTCTAAAACAAACGTCGCGGAATTTTGAAAGAATATGGCACTCTACCAAAACGGTAGAATCTCGTTTATTCTGGCAGGATAGTCATAGAAGATACATGAAGGCTCTATGTCACGCTCGAGCTGCCTACTACTCCTCTCTAATCGAGGAAAACAAAAGCAATCCTAGATACCTTTTCAGCACTGTAGCCAGGCTGACAGAGAGTCATGGCTCCATTGAGCCTTGTATTCCTTTAGCCCTCAGCAGTAATGATTTCCTGAGCTTTTTCAACAACAAAATTCTAGACATCAGAGAGAAAATTGGTAACCTCCTGCCCTTACCTGGTGCAGATATGTTTGATACGACAGAGACAACTCCAGGACCAGATATTAGTCTCAACTGTTTTTCTCCTATCGACCTTTCAGAGCTATATTCCATTTTTTCTGCGTCGAAACCGTCAACCTGTCTTTTAGACCCAATCCCAACCAAGCTGTTCAAGGAAGTCTTTCCTTTAGTTAGCAACTCTATATTAGTTATGATCAATTCGTCTTTACTGGCAGGCTATGTACCACAGGCATTTAAAGTAGCGGTAATCAAACCTCTACTTAAAAAGCCTACTCTAGATTCAGGAACTCTAGCTAACTACAGGCCTATATCCAACCTTCCTTTTATCTCAAAGATCCTGAAGAAGGTGGTAGCTAATCAGCTGTGTGACTTTCTCCGTGACATCAGTTTATTTGAGGAGTTTCAGTCAGGATTTAGAGTCCACCATAGCACTGAGACTGCACTAGTTAAAGTTACAAATGATCTACTTCTAGCTTCAGACAGGGGACTTCTCTCTGTGCTCGTCTTGTTAGATCTTAGTGTTGCTTTTGACACCATTGACCATCAGATCCTATTATACAGACTAGAACATTTACTTGGAATTACAGGGACTGCTTTAAGTTGGTTTGAATCCTACTTACCAGACCGATCTCAGTTTGTACATGTTAATGATGAGTCCTCTATGCACACCAAAGTTAACCATGGAGTGCCACAAGGTTCAGTGCTTGGACCAATTCTCTTTACATTATATATGCTTCCTCTGGGAAATATTATGAGGAAACACTCCTTACAGTTTCATTG